AAAAAAAAAAAAAAAAAAAAAAAAAAAAAAAAAAAAAAAAAAAAAAAAAAAAAAAAAAAAAAAAAAAAAAAAAAAGTAACCATCAGTAAAAAAAAGAAAAGACTGTAATTTCGCTTTCGCTACAGTGAAGAATCATTAATGACAATCATCATCAAGCTAAGCCATCCATTTAACAGATCATGCACAGCATAAGGTCATCAAAATGGCTCACGAGTCAACTCTTTGCATGAATCCATTTTTCTTTTCCTTTTTTAAGAAACCAAACTTTGGTTGAGAAATAAATGAAAGAAAACACGCACACACAAAAAAGGAACTCCCAAAAGGGAGCCAACCAACACAAAGAATTCACAGCCAAGTCACGACTGAGAGCGTAATTACAAAAAGACTTCGAATTGTATTAACTACAAACTAGTAATGCAACTAATCCACAAAAACACTTGCAATGCGTTTTCACACCCCAGAAAACGAGCTCATAAGGACTTTTATTTCGCATCCATGGTTTGGGTTTTTGCACCACTACTACAATCAAATCGACAGCACATCAATTTGTTTATAAAATTAGCAAATAGGCGTGAGAAATGTTTGTTTACATTTTCTTTTTCAGTACTATTCCCCAGAATAAACTCAAGAATTCCACGATTTACATGGAAAGAAAGCAGGAGGACTATTCCTTAATCAATGAGCAGCGATTCCAAACAGGAAGAATATGTTGAAATGCAAGCACAACAAACGTAGACGCCACAGAAACTAATTACAGCCAATCACGTTTGGCCAAAAGTCCATTTCCAGTTACTATATGAAACGAGTGAGCATATACAACATAACAACAATTAAGGTTTGAAAAAAAAAAAAAATCATCGACTATTCAAATTGATTCCACAGTCCAAAATGCAAGGGCATGTTTGCCTAGTCAAGACAAAGAACATACCAAGCTCTCCTAGTTGCATATTATCTTTAGTTTCTAGGCTGTCTACATCAGCAAGAAGATAGACAACACATATTATGGTGAAATTAGACATTGCGGCCTGATCTGATGGCAGAAAAAAGTGTGTATATGTATGTAAGCATACACATATGTATGATCAGTAAAAATATGCCGATAAACAAGCAGATTGTAAACTATACAAAGAAGACAACCAGTTACAGTTTAATCAGCTGCTTAGTTACTTGACAATCACAAAAGCGTAATTGAAATTTTTTCAAAAGACAGACATCAAAGGGGACTTACTTTGGCCAACAGCTAGTTGCAGGAAGCTCAAATGGATGGCCAGTGGAAGATCTGCTGGGGCTACCATATAACATTCCATTCGGAACAGTTTCATCCTGATGCTTAACAGAGAAGTTGTTCTCACTTCTAGACAATGGTGGATAGAAAGGCTTCTTTAACCATGGATCGTGATCACAGCTCATAACTGGGTTAAATATCCCAACACTTTGGCCTTTACCAAGCAAAACATTCTGAGAAGAAAGTGTGCCAGACAAAACTTGATCCTCTTTAATGAATGCTGGTGGAACAGTTTTCTGAGGAGGCTGGAAAAACTCATCCTTATTTAGTCTATTAGATTCAGAAGGAAGAATCCAGCCAGCTGGACCACCTACCAAACCTAAACCATCCTGGCCAAAGGGAGAACTATTCCACATCTGCCATGTTCCCTTATCATTTGCATTTGTATCATCCTTAGGAGGACTTCTCAGATCCAAAGCCTTCGGAGTGCTGGGGAAATTATTAGAACAATTATGCTTTTCCCTTGATAAAGGTGACTCAATTGGAGATGGTTTGTTAATTTCAGAAGAAGCAGTCTTTAGAGTTCGTGGTCTTTCCATTCCGATTTCTGTTGCAAAGCCAGCTCCTAAATCCAACCGAAAATTATCGAGCGACTCCGATACGGGACCCAACAAGGATACTACATCAGGTATATAACAAGGATCTTCAAAAAGCTCTGGTTCTTCAGGCATGCATTCATGGGAACCTTCAGCAACACGAGGAAATTGAGGTTCAATTACAGGCGAAAACCCTAAACTACTACTTGTAGGACCCGGACCCTTAGGATAAGTGGGTATGGTAAATGGTGATGGCAGGCCAAAATTAATAGGATTATCATATG